TGCACTGGGTTCGACTCCGGGCTCCACCCGTTGTGTCCCGGCTGTGTGGCCTCTGTTCGTCTGTAGCGTGCACACGGCCGTGGCAGCAGCTCGCAGGCACACTCGGCCATAAATGCTCCTCCCGTTGGTGCAGGCGGGAGGAGGGAAGGAGACAGAAAAACACGCCACCGCAGCTCTTCGTGCCTTGGGGCTGGGCACGGAGGACATCTGTTCCCCCTCTCATTTTACAGATGAGGACACCGAGGCCTGGCAGGGGAAAGGTCTTGTCCAGGGTCACTAGTTAGCAGCGGAGTCACCATCCAGTCCTTACCCACCCCACCCCTGCCCCAGGTCAGACAGGAAGGAGTGACACCTCTGAGTCCTCCCTCACTTCTCCCACCTCATCAGCGCAGCCTCCTTCCCCCACCCCAGCCTAGGAGAAACTGGGACCCTCCAGACCCTTCTCCCCGGCCCCTCCCAGCCCTGGACAGCCTGGAGGCGCCGTGTTCTCAGTCCCAGCAACAATCGGCTGCTATCTCTCCGCCCAAAGACGAAAGCAGAGACTGGGTGGAAAGCCAGTGTTTAATTTAATTTCTACCACCAGGTTATGGGGAGATGGGTCGCATAACATTTTGGAATTTACCATATGTTCTTTTCCAGTTTTTCAGAGGAAGGGACAGACAGTTGCAACACTTGGAAGGAAGGGAAAGTCACAGCCTTTAAAATGATAGCTTTCCATTGTTTTAAAACAGAATTGTAGCAATCTCCTATTCCCAGAGCCCATGACAGTCCAATGTCCTGATAGTCACAGGTGGAGGGGAGGTGGGCCACACCCACCCCAGGCTTTCAGGCACGCTCCTGCCAACCTGAGACCGCTCTCCTCATCTTTAGGTGGTCTGACTTGCTGGCTGTTTACCAGTCGGGCAAGGCCATGCTGGGGGCGGGGGTGGGAGGGAAAGAGGAGAAAAAATGTGCACTTTTAAATTCAAGCGACTTTTACGTTTAGCCCAACTCAGCTACGAAAGAAGACAGGTTTTAATGTCTCATCTAAATGACTGTTCTAATATAGCCAAGATGGGCCCATCACGGTGTCACACAGGGCAGGGGGTGGTGTCCAGATGGGCCTGGTCGCTGTGTCTCCAGGGACTCGACCCGTTCCTCACTGAGCCCACAGGTTCCAGGCCCGCCAGGGACTGGGAAGACTGAGGTGAATGGCAGCTGGGCTCCGAGTTGAAGGAGGGAAGTCGCACGCAAACACAGGCGGCTTCCTCTCCATGCTGAGGAGACCCGAGGGTACGGTAGGTGTCAAGGATGTGGGAGGAGAAACACGGAGAGGTTAAGCAGACTTGACGGCTGAATCCCGCAGTCCCGATTCCAGGAACCTCCGTGTGGGGGCGGGATGTATCCGAGAATGGAGGCGTGGCCCCAGATCGAGGGCTCTGCAGGCACAGGGAGGGAATGATGCTGAAGGAGTTTATGGGGTGCAGGAGAGGCCCTCCCCCAGCAGGGGAGAGCCCATCCAGGAGGGCTTCTGGGGAGCTGTTGCCTGATCTGGGTTGTAAAGGATGGATAGGAGTTTGCCCTGGAATTGGAGAGGGAAAGGTATTCCAAGCTCATGAAACGGCACTAGCAAACATAGCAAGAACCTGCAGGGCTGGCGGGTAAAGGGACATCCACGATAAGAGCCGAGGCAGGGCCAAGCGCAGTGGCTCAAGCCTGTAATCCCAGCACTTTGGGAGGTCAAGGCCAGAGGACTGCCTGAGCCCACGGGTTCGAGACCAGCCTGGGCAACATGGTGAGACCTCCTCTCTACAATAAATCAAAAAATTAGCCGATGGTGGTAGAGCATACCTGTAGTTCCAGCTACTTGGAAGGCTGAGGCGGAAGAATCGCTGGAGCCCAGCAGGCCTACCCTGGGGTGGCCATTAGCATGCCACTGCACTCCAGCCTGGGCAACGGAGTGAGACTCTAAGAAAAAAAAAAAAAGAGCTGAGGCTGGCCACAGTCAGTTCTCACACCCACCCTACTTCATGTGTGAGGACATCAAGACCCAAAGAGGTTAAGTAAAATGCCCAAGGTTACAAAGCTAGACAGTGGCAGTGTTGGGATTTAAATACAGTCATCTAGGTCAGGTGTGGTGACTTACTCCGGTAATCTCAGCCCTTTGGGAGGCCAAGGTGGGAGGACTGCTTG